ACGTCGTCTTTCGTGAAATATTCTTTAATGATGTTTAAATAACTAGAGAGTAGTGTGATTTCATGTCGTACTCTTAAATGTTTAGATGTTTCTGTCGGTGAGACATTTGTTATTGGAATTTCGTTTTCTAATATCGAAATATAACTATATATTATTGCGAAAACTTCATTAGTGAATATGGAGTTTGCTCTTTGTGAGTTATGATATTGGATGCTTTTTATATATTCTGAAAAAACTTTTGAAAATTCTAAATCAAGATCGTCTGTTTGGATTGTATATTTTCTATTATTATGGTTTGGTGAGGTGAATTCTATGGAGTAGATTCCATACTGTTGTGTTATGTTGCATATATCTTTTAAGTAGTGGTCTATGATTTGTCTTTTGATTTTTACATCTGGGAACTCTGTTTTACATGGACTGATTCCGGGTTCAAATAAATTTAATAGTAAATTTTTGCAAAATATATACTGTCCTCTATCAGTGGTTGCATCTACTATAAAGGGAAAGATTTCATCATCATCTGGACTTTCGTCACCTGGGGTGTGCGTTGAGCTCATTTTTTCGTTCGATGACTGTTAATATGTAATTATTAATGTGTCGAATTGGTTGATTCCAATTGTATAAATGTACTGGTTTGTGTTTATACTGCTTTTTTATTCTTCTTTTTCCTCTTTTTGATGAATTTGAAGTTGTTTCTGAGTCAGAAAAATATAATTGATCGTGAATTGGGCAATTTTTATCTATTGATTCTTTTAGTTTGTAAAGTTCGTCTAAACTGTTGGTTTCTGATTCTGAAAATGCGTTTCGATTTTTTGAAAATCTTTTTCGTGTTATTTGTCTTTGTTTCGTTATTATTTTTCTTTTTAGTGTTTGTCGTTTTGTTCGAATGTATCCAACTGTTTGTGTATGAGGTGTGATTACAAGGTCGTATTTTTTGTTATCTATTTCACAATTGTGTAAAACGATTGTTTGTTTATTTCCTAGGTTTTTAAATGACATAAGGTTTAGGATGACGGATGCAAAAGGTTGTTAAATGACTTCTATTTTCCTAAACTGTTAGTTCTTACGATTTTTTGGTTAGCTTAACCTGGGTCTATTTGTTCAGGGTTGGAGAGAAAAGTATATCGATTCCGAAGAATGATTTTTTACTTTCTCGTGGCTAGTATAAGCTAAGGTGTTAACTTACTTAATCTTACTTAGGGGTAGTGATTGTGTTCAAGGGTTGGAGAATAGTAAATCGATCCACAAGGTTCAGGTATAATTAGAACGCGAGTAGTTCGTTAGATACTATTTTAAACTTACTAAGTCTAAGATTTATCCTGGGTCTGGTAAGAGGGGGGTCAAGTGAAGGATGAATAACCGAGGTTCTTCACTGTTTATCCTAATTTGAATGATTAGTTTTGTTTAAAAATTTCTATTAGTCTTAGGTCTTTTAGAAAGGGTTGGGTAGTGAATCGACGTTTGAGGTCGTTAGACACTAATTAAGTGGGTGGGGGAGAACAAAGTTGTTCTGTTTGATCCAAGGATAAGCCTTGATGATCAAATTTGAAATTTAATTAAGTAGAAAATGATTTAAGATCCAAGGATAAGCCTTGATGATCTGGTTTTAAAATTAAGTGAATTTAGGTTTTAATAAAATTTTAAATGTGTGTAAAGGAAAGATTTAGTGTTTTGATGATATTAGTGGGTTTATGATTGCTGTTATGTTTTAGGTGATGGAGCTGGAACAACAGGATGATTTATGATTACTAACCATTTATTGTCATGCTACTAATTTTTTTATTTTTTATTTTTCAATAAATATTTTTCAAACATGTTTTGTATATTACTGCAGAGTTTTTTAGGAAAACGATCTTAGATCTTTTTATCAATCGTTATTGTATATTAATAATTTTGTTTAGCGCCTGAAATGATTTTGAAGATTAGCTTCAAGGTTTTATGTTTGCAAATGAAAATCTAAATTCATTGCCAGTAGTATTCTAAATATAAAAGTTTGTTCTGGTTTTTGCCTAACTATCATATAGCTATATGGCAAGTTTCTACTTTGTCGTATGTCGTCTCTGGTTCGAGGTCTTCTTCCAATTCCGGGTAGTTCTGTTATGGTTCGGAATATTGGCTCTGATCTATTGAGTCGTAGAGACATTTCGATTAAATTACTGTCGTATAACATTTTGTAAATGTTTTTGTCTAATTTCTAATCTATTTTGGTTAATTCTAAGCTATTAAGGTCTTGTTCGAGACTTATGGTCGCATCAGATGAGTTAGGACCGAGTTGGTTAACTCATAGAGTAATTTCGGATAGGGTACACCGTCTGCTCGTCACGCTATCTTATTTTCGGCCGGATAGATTCGTGCAACTTCTTAGTCTAATACCGATCCTAATCTTACTCTTATACTATCTAGTCTCAGGTTGTTTAACTAGTCTCTGCTAGGCTCAATAGATCTAGGGTATACTGGTTTATTGCGGCTGCTGAAGTGCTCGGGAGAGTCCAACTAATTTCTAAGTTAAATTCAAATCTCTCTGGTGCTGAAATTACAAGTAACTTCAGCACTTACAAATAAGTGGGTTGTTAGTTAGATGGATCATGATTGGTTAATATTAAATACTTTACATTGGTAAAATATCTAAATTATCCAATCATAAAATGTAGTTTAGATCAGGTTCCAAAAGCAATCTGATTGAATAATTAGTTTCGAAATTTATTTAAAGCCCCTTGAACTCAACAATACTAAAGGGGGAGAGTTCTCATGCTGGAGGGATTGAATGCTTGAAAAACTTCAACCAATCAATATCGCTACGCTAAATGCTTTTCTCGCAAAATCGAAGTCAATATTAACAGAAAATGATAATATATATAATAAATGCAGATATAGTAGGTGCAAATAAAACATTAAAAAATTAAATGTAATAAAATTAAAAATTTTTTTTTTAATTTGAAATTTTTTAGTAAAATCATCCCCCCACACGCCATTTAAAGTACAAAAGGATAGATTTAGCTCCTTTTAACCAATCAATTATGGCAAATAAACTTATTTTAACCAATTTGGAACGATTTTAAGACGGATTAACTCTCCGCTTACGCGTTAATAGCGCGAAATATATCGCGCGTTAATTGTCCCAAATTGGCCAAAATGGCAATCTTTAAACCCCCATAACTTTACAAAAAATGATCACAGGTGAAATATCTTTTCAAATTTGAGCTCAGGACAACAATACCTTTTGAATGATATAAAAAAAATCTGTCAAAAATGGCTAGTTAAAAAGTCGAAATTTGTCTGAAGAAAAAAAAAACCCCACCCGAGCACAAATATTCCGTTACTTTCGTATCGAAAGTCGGAACAATAAAGTTAATTTTTTTGTTTTTCCATTTTTCGTAAATTGGTATCTTTGAAATTCTGGATTTGTTCCAATCCACCTTCGATTCGGCATTATTTTCATTCAGCTGCTTATTATCTAACCCGTCACTATTAACACTAATTGCCTGGATTTATTTGCTTACTTTGAGATTTTTGCTTTTCCCAAATATTTGTAAATTTGAAATCAGCAGCAAGAATGAAATAAGCGTTGAATTTCAAGCAATTATCTTTTGTTTCTAAGCAAAAACTCAATTTTGGCTGTGCATCATTTTTGTCCAACTACCCTTTAAGACCATATTTTACTTTCAAGGGTTGGGTGATGTCCTATGATCGACTGATTAGGTTGCTTACTGTATTGTCGAATTCACATAATTACTTCTTTAGTTTTCAACGAGTATGCATGATAAGTCTAGAATCTAAATTCATATCACAGCACACTGAATCTAAGATACCGCATTTAGTCATTAATTGTTGTTGAACTTGACTGACATTATTTAAAATAAAAATGACAACTAGATTTTTCTGGCTACTCTCGTAGCAGTACCAGAGGCTGAATGTTTTTTGCAAGCAATCAAAACGTATATTCATGATTACTGTATGTATATACATGATTACTTTTTTCGCAAAGGCACAGCCACAGCACTTGATGCAAAAATTTTAGGTAAGATGAACTACGAGACAAGGTAACTGGCCTTAAATGGTTTAGCTGTTAGTTAAAAATAATAGGCAAACTTGCAAATTCAAAATTGTAATAAAGATGTGGATTTGTGATTATGCAGTCATTTTTTTGCAGTTCCTTATTATTGACACGTGGGGCATAATAAGTATAGATGATTAGCCGTCTTCTCAATCAATTTTCTTACAGAAGTGTAGGTAGGGGTTTAATTTGCGCGTATTTTTATAAGTTTTGTTTTCACACAAAAACAGGTAGCACAAAAAATTGCGCAGAACCTGATACATTAAAGTGAATTAGTTCAATATTGACTCAAATCGATATTCAAAAGTTATAAAAAAAATCTCTCAGTGACCGGAAAATTGGTTTATAATATTGAGAAAAACGGCATTTTTGATATATTTTTCTAAAAAATTGCCTGCGGTAAGAAATATTCTACTGAAACAAAACAGGAGCTAGCTTGTCCGAAAAAAAACACCTCTATGCGCTAGATTAAAGCCCGTTTTGATATTCCAAGAGAACTAATGTCGCGCCAAACGTCGGCTAAAAAGCAATCGATAAAAATCAATAAATAAAGTGAAGACGAGGTCATATTTTTGATTTTGTAAAAAAACTGAACGTTTTAATTAATAACTTCTATCTGTTGCTACTATTTTTTAGTTTTGTCTCATTATTAATTTATTGAATTCATGGCTGGGCACGAAAAAACAATGATATTTAGTTCAGAAGCAATTTCACCAACAAAATTTTTTTTGCGATGCAAAACTAAAATCTGCTGGAATTGAATTTAAAGTTTTTAAGACAAATTGGTAAACATGTCCAGCAATTGTTAAACAGCGTACAAAAAATCAGCGAAAAAGGATCCGAATCAATTGATTAATCTGATTTGAAAACTCATACAAATAATTTAAAAATTAATTCAATACATTACATTGCATTATTCATTATAGTACAATCACACATAATTGTGGTTTCTGCTATTCGCAGAGGATCCATGAAAGTCTATTCATCATGTCTAAGCGTAGTCCGTTTTTTGTTATGGTCAAAACTTATTCACATACGCTCAAATATTTTGGGAAAGGAAATCGTTTAGCCAGGTGTTATTTAGCAAAAAGGTAGGCATTTTCCTTATACACATCTGTCATTTCTCGTCTCATGTTCTCGATTTCGTTAGAGAGCCCCGAAAAATCTTCCCCTATGAAGTAGTTGATCATTTTGAACCCCAACCTACTCAGAACAGTGCACACATACTCAAGCGGGACTACATGAGGGGGGCCCGTGTCCATAGTGTGCTCGTACAGAGCACACAGGTACCTAAAAAGACAACGAGGTACATTTTTGAGAATCGCACTTTTTTTAACTAGTTTTTGTTTCCCGAGAAAAACCACCTCATAAAATGTTTAATTCAAAAGAGGGAATTATTGTTTACAAGTTGATTGAGATCTATAAATAACTGGTTAAAATGTTACTACTACAAATGTAGTTTTACATTTTTGTTAACGGATGATCCTTCAACAAAAGCTGAGTGAGTCATAAAATGTCAACTAGTTTTTTTTAAGTCTTAATCAATTAGTAAACAACAAGTAATTAAAAAGAGGTAATTTTTTAAGATAAAAATTAGTTACAAATATCAAGGATCTGCATTAGGAAGCCAAACTGTGCACTGGATAGATGAACAGTTGGGTGTCTTTAGGTCACTGCAGCTCAAAGACAAATCTTTCAAAATGCTCCAAAATATGAGTGGTTATATTTTGGTTATATATATTTTGCCGGCACATTACGGAAGAATCTAGCTAGTTGTTCCAGAATCAGCAACTTGGGAGCGGATTCCGCAAAATTGTAATCTATGAAGTAATGATCACATATTTGTTAATGAATTCCATAAATTGTTCAGAATTTTGCAGTTTTTGTTTCAGATTTTGCATTTATGACTGTTTTTGGAGGATTTTTTTAGCGATACAAAGTTTTATGTGTTTTAGCTATTTGTTTGTGGAATCCAAAATTGCGAAGATTATTTAAAAAAATGGCAATGCGGCGTATTCCGCGGCAAAACTGTTTTCAATTGTTGCAGAACTCTTTTACAACATACTCGGTTTGGCCTCGTAATTTTTAGTTTAGTTTGACGCATTTAGTTTGAACTTACTTTGAAGTATTTTTTTCCAAACTAGGTAATCTAGAACAAACAACCATCCAGTAAAATATTCAAACACTACGAGGAACTGATGCTTTTAACTACATTAAAACCTATTAACAATTAGTTTTATTTTCACTTTAGAAAATAAGCAAAGTGGCTGAGCTGCTTTCAAAGATGAACTTTTATAGGGAAACACGACAAACAGCCGCGGGATCTATTCAACTATATCCTTTTGCAAAAAGGGGGGTCGGTAAAAGGTACAATATTTACATATATTTCATCTTCAATTATTTATTTTTGGGTGTGGCGATTCGTTACCTGGTACCATGGGTGTAGTTAAAGAGATTGCAACCCCGTACTAAATACATTCTTTTACGATGATCTGAAATTAATTTGTTTTTATTTAAATTCAGGTCTCAAAAGGTTAAGAAATTTAAAAATTGCACCTTCGAGGCTTTAGGATTGAGTTAAATGAAACTGACAAACATGTAATTCTTATTCTTATGAGATTGCTAATCTTGATAGCTAAAACAAGTACGCGCAATCTAAATCCACAGAACGGCAAAAAAAATTCCTTAACTAAAAATTGATATTTCGTTCAGTTTTGGAGCTTTTTGTCGCGGAGTTTTTTTTCTTTTTTTTGTTGAAATTTTCCAATTATAACAAGACGCAAAATAACCATAGAAATTAGGAAACCTCCTTAATTAACCTATTTTATAAATCATAATTCTACTGAGAGACTTTACCCGAAAAATTTTCACTCAAAACTAGAGAGGTTTAAAAGGATAATTCAAATTAGTTGAATATTACTTAGTTGCAAATAGAATAAATTTAATCAGATACACAGTATCAATTTAACATAGAATGAAACACTTTTCTACAGAAAAGTTGGAAGAAGGTTTAGACAAACTATATCAAAACATAAATAGCGTGTGTCGTACTTAACACAATGATTCAAGTCGGTGTGAAGTGGCCTTGTAGACTACCACTAAGCAAGATGCTGCAAAAGATATCCTTAATGGTAAATAAGTACGAGATACCGAAGGTCACCTCACGACACTGAGAGCGATGAAAATTAATATAACTAAATCCAGTCTTTTGGAAGGACGAACAGAACTCCCCATTTATTAAAAACAAAATTATGGGAGATCATTCGCGTGGTTAAAAGAAGTCGCATTCAACCATGTGGGTCTCATTTTTTGTAAATTGTAAAAAATAAAATTAACACTAAGCCCATTTGTCAATTACATCCAAATAGGGTAAAAGTTATTACCTGTATTTTTTAAAATAACAATATATGGATTGCATCTGGAAACATCCATCCGGTCTATGGTACAAAATAACAAGGGTAGCAGGTTACTCTGCAAGTAGCACAGAATGCTCCGATCGTTGTCTTAAAAAATATAACAATTTTTTTTTCAATTTAGTGTCGTTTTTCTTCTGAGTAGTGTGATAAAAGGAACTGAATAATAAAACGCGTAAACATAACCAAATTTATTAGTAAGAAAGCAAATGGGACAAAAATTATCGAAGATAAATGACTCGAAAAAAATTATAAAACAAATTTAAAAAGTTCCAAGAAAGCGCTGAAAGATATTTTTATTCAAGTAAGACTAAATTCCTGTGTTTAAATTAAACTATTGTAAGCTAATATGCTATTAAAATAAGCTATAGTAAGCCTGCTAGCTCGCTTTACTCGTTCGAAATGAGACTAAAATTCAAAAATTTTAAGCCAGTTTTTCTCAATACTGGGACAATTTGTTGAAATTTTGTTAAATGTTGTTCAACTGAAACGGCTTTGAAATGATATATCACTTGACCCATTCCGATGATTTATTGTGGTATCCATTACGAGGCCAAACTGTGCACTGGATAGGAGCACAATTTTGTGTCTGTATGATCCTGGATTCCAGAGACAAGTCTTTAAACATGTTAAAATTTTGTCGGAACAATCAAAGAGAAGAAAAGAACAAAAGAAGAACAAAGGGAGCGTCCTTGTTGCAGAATCCGCTTACAATGCACAAAATGCACAGTTTGGCCTCGTAATGTCTGATTTTGCTTGGAAAACAAAAAAAGAGAAAAATGAAAAACACAAACGAATACTAATGGTCGGAACAATACAAAGTTTCAAACAGTGTCATCTGAAAATCATATGCTTCCACAAGGAGATGACTCCGCGCCTAATTTCAACAGCCAGTTGCGCGGCGCATAAGTTTTTGCTCAGGAACAAAAGTTTTGGGTTAAACCCAATTTTTAAGCTTTGAAATTACCTGATTATTGCGTCAGTACAACAAATTTGAAAACTATCAAAATGTGTCTCCAGCTTTAGACAAAAGTTTGTCATGGCCTAATTATTAAACGTGCCAATTTTCGCAACAATCTGACAACGTGAAGAAAAAATCCTGTAAAGTTTCACAAGTTGAAGAAAAAAAAAACACTGTTGATTTCTAGGCTGGGAACTATAATTCGAAAGACGCTAGTTTGCTATCATACAGAAAGAAACAAAATAAAACCGGGTACCAGCATAAATTTTCTGTCATCGATTTTGAAGGCCGGAGCAAAAAACTTTGATAATACCAGCCTCGAATAAATAAATTTGTCAGATAATAGTGTCATAATCCGATCCGTGTATATTATCCGATCCGGGTTTCCTACCTGCATTTTGGTACTTTGCATATGAACTGTTGAATGACTTGAAAGTAAGCGTCGCGCATGTGGGGCTCCAGGGCTATCAGACACCCCTTGTCAATCACAGCTTCCATTTGGACTGTAGGGTCGATGAGGTGTTTGGGGGAGAACTCGAACACATCTCCACAATATATCTGTTTAGAGACCATTTTCTCAAGTACAAAGTCGAGAAAAAAATAAAAACATGATTTTGGAACATTTACCATATTATAGCCCGGCTCGAGAGCAAATTAAATTGAACTACAAAAAAAAGCTATCATTCTGAGAACAACAAACAGTTGATATTGATTATGTATTGAACAATTTTTCGACAATTTTTTTGTGCAATTTTTCAATTTATATACACTTTGGTCCCTGGATTGTGTTATTTGCGTTTTTGAACACTTTTCCGAAGCCTGCAACTTGCTGTTCTTCCAATTCCAGATTTTGCTCTCGGGAAAGAAGGCAAATTGATTTCTCGTTGGCTTCTACGTCTGAAAACAACAGATGTCAACATAGGATAATCCTTTTGAGCTATAAAGATTTTTGGCGAGTATTTCTTGAAGCAAATCTCACATACCCGTAAAAAAAACCTCGTTTAAACACTTGAAAGACCCTATTTTGACAAATTATGGACCTCCATTTTGAACTTTTTCTTAAGAAATATTTCACTTATAAATTGCGTTTATTTGACGCACGCTCCTCCCTCCCGAAAATGAGTAGAAATTTACTCCAAAAGCGCGTTTGGAAAAAATAGGGTTGTAGGCTGAAAATGGACGTCGGAAAACAGCAACGAAGTGAGGAGGTCGTTTTTGAAGGGTCGAGTTTTTGAGAAAAAAAGGGGGGTTTCTCTTCTGAAAAACTTCACGTGTTGATTCATGTCAAAAAGTTATTCGGTTTCATTCAGTTTCATTGGCCTGATAATTTTGATTTTCGTTCGTTAAATTTTTCAGTTTTGAAAGGACTTTCAATGTGAAATAACAAACAATACGTGCCTATTATTGTAGCTCCGAGCTCGTGAAAGAACTTTATTTCAGCTGCTTTTCCACAAAGTGGGATGAAGATGGTGGCTGTTCGTTTGTCTTCGGGTAGTATTTCCGACTGGAATTGCAAAATGAAGGGTACAACTTTTTCCTTGTGAAAAAAGGGTGTGTTTGAGACCTCCCATACTTCGTGCCACATTTCCAAATTAGACATAACTGAACCTCAAACGCGAAGTCCATATAGTTTTTTTCGTGCCGTTATTAAAATAGTGTGATATAAATTGTTGACAGTATTTATACTTTTTCCGTCAAATTTTGCAAGTCTCTCAAAAAGTAAGAGCAAAAATGAAAATGCTCAAGTCTGATTGGTCAAATTTCCGCTAATTATAGCTCAAACAGTGGAGTGAAGCGCTTCTGACCAAATTTGGGCGGAATAAATATAAAAACTCAAACAAAAACGAAATTGAAAACCCAAAAAATCAATATATTAGCTTTTAAACATTTATAGCTTGAATATCAAAACATTTTGAAAATGTTGACCAAGTTTTCAATTGCGAATGGCTGGAAAAAAAACCTAGCGACAGTCTTAAAATATCAACGCGAAATTCTGGACTTGAAATGGAAACAATTATATAGTGCCGTGACTTTGAAGTTCGGGTCAAAAATCTACCCTGAAAAGAAGTCTATATTTAAACAAACCAACACCATTAAAAAATTCTAGTAATGTGTGATAATTTTCCAGTTGAAACTCAATATTTTAGCTGAATAAAAACCAAAACTTTAGCCTGAAAATAAATGCATAAGTTATACAAACAAGTTAGAATTTTAGTCGGAGAATAATCTGCTGCTTTTTTGTCGGAAGTTCGGGTAGCCACTTGCTAGATTGCGCCAATTGCGCCATGAACGCCCTTGTCGCGAACGTTTTGACGGACTTTTTCAGTCGCGAATGTTTAGAAATTACAAAGTCTGGTCGTGAATGTCTGGATATACAGTTGGGATTAAAATTTGGGAGCAATTTGGACGTCGATCTGGGGGTAGATAAAGAGATATTGAAAGAATAAACGCACCAGAGTCTTCAAAAAATATGGAGCAAAAACGAACGCAGAAGATTTCTCAAAACTGCCCGTCATCAAATATTGACCAGGACTTCCTTCAGCGGAAATTTTCTCAGGTGAAGAATTGATTGTATTTAGAAAGTTTATATTCTATTCGAAATATGTAATTTAAAGCATAAAAACTAAGGCTCAGTTATGCATTTTGGAAATATTATGCAAAAACGTTTCCAATTACGATATAAATTGAGCATTAATAGTTTTCCCAAACGGGTCTTTAAAATTGTGCCTTTATAACCCACTGCTAGTTTTTGATCCTCACGAAATAATCAGTACCGAGAAAATGCTTAGTTATTTCTGCAATAAGCGAGAGCAAATCAGCTTACGAAAGCCAAGCGAATTTTATTTTAACCAACTCACCTGTTACTGGGCTAAGGAAAATTTATCTCTGTTCTGGAAAAAAGAATGGTTTGCGTAATTGTCTTGAAACAAGGTTGAGATGCTATAAGATTTCAAAATTTTCAGTCTTTCAAAGCTCTTTCAGTCTTTATTTGAATGAAATTGAACAATTTGAAATTTTTCCCCAGTTTCGAGAAAAACCGGTTTGAAATTTGTGATTTTGTGTTTTAAGTCGAGCAAATAAATAAGCTTGCAATATTGCAATAGCTTAATGGCTTAAAAGCTTACAATAGCATACTTTAAGCCGTAAAAACTTAGTTTTCCTCGAAGAAAGTTAGTTTTTTTTCTACAATAATTGTTTTCCAATTTACCTATTTCACTATGATTGAGAATTTCGTACTATGAATTTTTCTTTAAGATCCTTTGATTAAAATTGGTTTGTTAGTCTTTCAAATGTTTTTTTTTTGATAAAAACCCTTGAAATACCGTTGAATGTAAGTAAATAAATAGGCTATTGTAATTCAATTTTTTTGTCGTTCAATATATCAATACAATAACTATTTTAACGGTTGCAACCTCAATTTTGTCAGTCCAAGTTAGCAGTTGATTGAATCTTAAAAATTAACTGTTGTCTAAGTAGTTTTAATTTGAAGTATTTAATATTTACGTACAGTTAGCAACCTGCGTAAAGTTTATCAAAACCAAACAAAATTGTTTTCCTTGAAATGGTTATTCAAGTTATTTAATTATTTAATCTGCAAGATCAACTTTAAATGTCACCTGGAATATTTACTCTATGCGTACAAAGGTTAAGGTTTTATGGAAAGATTAATATTTACGAATTGTTGTCTATCTTCTTTAATTTTATCAAAACCATATATGTTAAGATTATTTTTTTCATGAAATGGTTATTCAAAATATTTAATTATTTAAACTGCAACAACAAATCTAAAAGTCACTTGATATTTGACTAGCAATGTAAAAGTTACAACTATTTGTCAATCTACCTCAAATTTATCAAAATCAATTATCTCAAAAGGTCATTTTCAAAGTTTTCAAAATTAAAATTTTTAATTGCTTAAAAAATGTGAACAATTTTAAAACTCAGATGAAATATGTGGGAGCGGACGCCTCAGGGATTCGATTCCCTCGCCAACCAAAGGGTCCCCTTTGGTGTTACTTTGTGACATTCATTTTATTTTTTTGGTCAAAAAGTACTCAAAAACGGGTCTTATTAGTGTTCTGGGGGTGACAAAAGGGATGTGAAAAAAATAGAATTTAGGTATATTCAACAGTCATAGAAAAATAGAAAAATTGGAAAAGCTTTTTTTTGTGAAAATTTCAAAACATTTCTGAATTTTTTTCTATTTTCAAGATGACGTTAAGCATAAGTATAACAAAATCAAAATAATTAAACGAACTTTTTAAAATTCGCTCGCGTTACGACAGAAAAGGTTTTAAAAAGATATATTGGATCAATTGAGCAATCTCACCCCGTAATGACCAATTGAGCTATCCCCCCCTCACGCAAAAACGGTAAAACGCTACAAAAAGACGTCAGCAAACGCAAGAAGATGGTTGATATGTTCGTAGCACGCAATCAATTGACCGATTGAAGTTTATTTTATATGAGTATCGAGAAAAATTTTGAAAAAAAAATCAAATTTTTTAAAACAAAAATTCGATTCTTTAAATTGTTTTGCAAATTTTTGTTTCGGCGATCATTGCCTCATCAGGAAAGCGACTTACCAGGGTTGATGCTCTAGTCTTGTATCTGGATATCAAACATTGCTCTCCGCAGCACCTTAATATTGCCTAAAATTTAGTAGCTTTATTTGCCTAAAATTTATTGATTCTTTTTCACTCTGATTGTAATTCATGAGCTTTGATATTGTAAATTTTGGCCTTCCACATTCAATCGAGAATCTGTTTATGATTTCTTATCATCCAAACGATTTTCAAATGTTTATAAACATGTCTCAAGAACCTATTGAGCTTTATACCCCCCCCCCCCCAAGCGAGATTGGGGGGAGATTGCTCAATTGATCCGATATATGCCGCGACTCATTCCGATGATTATTTGTGGTACCTGATTTGCCTGGAAAACAAAAAAAAACAGAAAAATAGAAAAGAAATAGAAAAAAAAACACACGCCAATACAACGTTTTTCCCCATTTCAATAATACGGTTAACAGGAGAATACTACTGGAGGCCACATTTGAGAAAAGCAGAGCCTTGCTAAAAATAGTTTTTGTTATTTTTCTTGTTCTGCAAGTTTTTTATTTACATGCGGCCTTCTTAAGTATGCTCCTGTTTCGTATCGCACAAAAAACAATTCCAATGAGCCACTGTTAGCAAAATATTGAGTTAGAGAATTTTGTCAAATCAATTTAAAAAATAGGTTTCCGTAGATTTTAAACTGTGTTTATTAGAACTTCAACATCCCTTACTTGTTTGATTTGTTAGATTCTTAAAGTATACGTCATTACAAGTAACATCAAAAATACAGACAAATCTGCCGGTCAAAATTATAGACTCGTACAGACTTTTTATATGTTTAGGCTATCACCCATATCCGGTAAGCTGCACAAAGTTTGCCAAGAAAGCTCAAGCTAATATTATGCCCATAATGAATGAATTGAACATAGTTCGTTGACGAGCTGTTACGCTTGCTCGGATCATGATCATGATTGGACCAAATGGTCGAACGATGTCCAAGGTTTATCAATACGAACA